ATCTGGGAGTTTCCGAAAGTAGGGGACCCTTACGTTTGGGGGTTTAGGGTTTAGGGTTCAGCGTTTAGGGTTTAGGGTTTAGGGTTTCTGAAAGTAGGGGACCCTAATATAGTACCCTAAATAGTAGGACACTTATTCTAACGACCCCAAAATAAGGTACCCTAATTTTTGGAAACTCCCATCTCATGACCACCACCAAACCATCTACGAAAACCCCAAATCCTCGCGGTGCAGAGGGGTTAGGGTTTAGGGCTTTAGGGTTTAGGGTTTAGGGTTGGCAAATTGAAAACCCCAAATCCTCAAGCGCAGAGAGGTTAGGGCTTAGGGCCGTAGGGTTTAGGGCTTAGGGTGCAAATCCTCAAGCAGAGGGGTTGTTCGAATCCAGATTCCCCTCACAGGTCCGCGCAAATAGTAGCAGCCCATCAGAGTTTTCAGGACATCATGCAGAGCCACAATGATCATGACGATGAGGATGATGGTGACGATGGTAAGTGATGAAGATCACGATAATCATCAGAATCATCTGCAAGGACATTTCGAGGTCATGATCTTGGCCATCAAGATGATCAAGGAGATTGATATTATTGCATTGTTTCCCTCATTTTCGCACATACTACACGAAGCCGGGGATTGGCACTTGGTGACCATCACCCATCGAGAGAGGGCCTTTCAGCGAAAGCTTCTTAATCTTAATTTGATCTGTCAGCATCCTCGAAGATGAGCTGGTGATCGTTATCTTGCAGGTTCGCCGGATCATCGTAGCCGCGCCACTGATGGATGAATGGATCTACCAGGTACCTGCAAGGCTTCGGACTGCTGTAAATCTGACAGCTGCACTCCTGCAAACCCTGGCGCACAAGCCATGGGACGACGTCCAATCTCGCAGTAAGCGCACTGCGAAGTCTCCTCGGCCCACGCCGAGCACGACCTTAGTTCGGGCCGAGCACCGATGGAGAGCCACCGTTTCGTGGAGTCGGTTTTGTCTCCGGGTGAGCCACCAAAATACCGATCAAGCGGCATCTGCAATGCTGAGTTCGCAACCCCTAGACCTCGTGGCATCTGTGCCTGGAGCAGAAAGATGGTCGATGAATTTAACTTGCCAAAGGGGCGTACGTACCTCTGTGTAGGAAGGCGGTTGCTTAAGCTGAGGTGCACCTCATCTATACGACCCGAGCTCTGCTCCCAAAGTAAACCCCTCCGAAACCCGGGACAAGCCCCATAACAAGCTTGAAAGCCTTGTTTTCCCTTATGTTGAAAGAAGAGCACTGATGAAGGGGGCCTGCATTAGACTAGGGCTTTGGGGTTGAGCTATATTCGGTTGTAGTAAGGAACTTTAGGAATGGCATTAGAACAAGTCCCCGCGCAAAAATACTCTTCTGTGTCCCAAAGCCCTCTTCTGGCTCCTAAACCCTATACGCCCTCTAAACCCTCATTCCCCAAGACCCAACAACCTCAAAACCCCAAAACCCCAAAACCTCAAAACCCCCCCAAAAAAAAGAATCCCAAAACCCCCAAAAAAACAAAACCCCAAAACCCCCAAAAAACAAAACCCCAAAACCAAAAAAACTCAAAACCCCAAAACCCCAAAACCCCAAAAAAAAACCCAAAACCCAAAAAAGCAAAACCCCAAAACCCCAAAAACCCCAAAACCCAAAAAACCTCAAAACCCCAAAAAAACAAAAGCCCAAAACCTCAAAACAACCAAAAAAAAACAAAAAAACACAAAAACCCCAAAACCAAAAAAAACTCAAAACCCCAAAAAACCCAAAAAAACAAAACCCCAA